TGCCCTCTGACCCTTTGTCTAATGGTTCTTACAGGCTAAAAGTCAAAGCTCCTCCAAGTGTTCCTCGAAGGGACTATGCTTCAGGTAAGAGTATTTCTAAGATACTTTAACTGATTCTTGATTAATTTAACATTCACATTTTTATTCATGTTCATGGAAAGCAAAGTATGTTTATTCATTTGAAAACAAAAGGTGCCTATCCTAATTTCAAGAATGACCACATCTATTAGACATTCAACTACAGAGGAGATCTAGTACTTCATCCATCTGTCTACCTATTAACAAGAATATATCAAACATCTTCCATGTGCCAGGCACACACAAGGTCTTAGGTAGACAGTGCTAAACAAGTTATTAATGGATATAGACTCCACACTCACAGAATTTATAGTCCAAAAGGGAAGATAGATGTCATTAAAAATAATAACAATTCAGTGTGATAGGGAAGCAGGCTCTCCTCATCTCTTGCTCATGCTTGTCTGAGCACAGAAGCTTCTAATTCTCCTTAATTCCTAATTGCATGCGATCTTCTCAACCTCCACCAGAGAATTGCTCTGAAATAAAATTCTCTTTAAATTTTTTCATGACTCTGTATCACCAAAAGGAATCGCAAACCACTGAGCCTGCAAACAAGGTCCCTTAATGTCAAGCCACTAACGGGCTGTGTAACTTTGGATGTCTCGTTCTCCTTATCTATATTATGTGGGGATTGGATCAGAAGATCTGTCATGTCCCTCCAACACTAATACTGTCTTCTCCTGAGGAAGAACAGATTGCTGGAGCCCAGGGTCCAGCGATGAAGCAATGAAGCCTCTCTCCTAACATTCCCTGACCTTAGGAATTTGCATTCTCCAATCTTCCTGAGGTTTGGAATGGTTCTCTTTGTTGACCTCAGACACCTGCTCTCTTCCCTGAAACCCTCCAAATAATCTTCATATCAGTACATTTGTGCTTAATCTCTCCTGGAACACAGAAATGTGATCCACCTGGATCTTCTAAGCCTTTGCTACACAAAGTGTGATTCCCAGCCTGGCAGCATTGGCACCACCTGGGAGCCTGTTAGAAATGCAGAATCTTTGCCTCGCCCCAGAACTACTGGATCAGAATTCGCATTTTAGCAAGATCTCCAGTGGACTTGAATGTATATGAACACATTAACTGCCATGTGAGTTGTATTTAACCCATGCTAGTTTTGAGCCCAGGGCCTCATGAAGCATATATAACTCACACGTCTCTTTACCTTGGGAGCCACTTGAACTATTTTTCAAGTTGCATATAACTCACACACAGAAAACAATAAAAAATAAAAAATTTTTCATTAAATTAGAAAGGATCATTTTGTTTTCAAAGTTTCTATTCTGTTTTTGTAATAAAATACCGTTGCCCCAAGGAAAAAAAATTTTTTTCCCAGTGTGGCTGTCAATGTGTTAAACCTGAGAAAACTTGCTATAAACCACCACCTCTGACCTTATTGCTTCTCCTGAACTGAAAGACAAGTAGATCCCCTCAAATCCACTGATGTTTCGGGATCTCCAAAATGCTTCCTATTGCTTTGCCAGAACAGTAGGGCCTTGCCCAGTCTCCTCTGCTCTTAGACTGAATCCCTGGAAACAGTCCAAAACCACCATCACCACCTGCAGTTAGTGCCCTCCCTTACCGCTCCCTCCCCACCCCAACCTCTGTCCCAAGAGCATTTCCAGCTGCTTCCCCTGAGCCTCCAGGTCCCTGCACAGCTGTGTGCCCAGGGCTTCAGAAATTAGCCCTGAGGGCTCCTTCTGAATCCAGGGAGTCTTTGAGGACCTCAGGGACCCCAGTGCACGGAAACCTGAGTCTGGGAGGCCAGTCAAGTGCTCTCTGGAGGCCTGTGGAGACTTGGTCCACTCAAGGATCCTGAAATAGACCCACCCATTTCCCCCAGAGACTGGATTTGTGTCCTCTTTCCAGTCCTGGGAGCAAATGGCTCCTCCAAACCCTGTAAGCCAAGATCTTGTTGACCTTGATAAGGCTGACCTTCAGAGGGCAGAGGATGGAAAGGGCCATCCTCTGCCCAAAAGTCAGTAGTGGAAGAGTCACCATAGGCCCTGCCCTAGAGTGCAGAAGGACAAAGCTTGAATTGCACAAAGAATGGAGCCTGGCCCCTCCAGGGATGCAGATCTGGCTGGTGCGGAGCCTGCTACCTTCAGTTCAGACCCAGCCACCCTGCCTGTGCTCTGAGGAAGGAACACTGCCCACAGGGACCAAATGGTCACCGAGAGGA